GCCATAACCACTGTGCTACGGGCACCAAGCCCCCAGGTTTCCCTTCAACCAGAACACTTCTGTTTTTATCCCCTTTATGTATTGGAGCTTGGAGTAATTTATTTTTAAAAAGTGAATTTTCCTGTCCCACCCAAAAAATATAACAAATGTCTGTTCTATGCTATGTTCGATAAACAGTTGTGATGAGCAACTAGGCTACTGGGCTGGAGGTTTCAGACTATTTCGCCCCAGGGTTCCAGGGCTGGGTAGGTATGGGGTACTGTATGTGCCTCCAAGAATAGTAGGGGCTCTGGAAAGCCCAGCAGTAAGGAAACTTCATTTTGTTTAACCCAGAGTTTCTCAAGCTTATTTCACTGTGGAAGCCTTTCCTATGGGTTTCAAAACCTCTTTCTAGCACAGTGTAATGAGAGTCAGAGGTCCCAAGCAGGAACTGTGATCTCTTCCCGCCTAGCCTGTGACTCGGCAAGACACCTTTCCTCTTTCAGGGCTATGAAACCAGAGGGCCCTCCTCCACTCTTACTCTGCTGACTCTACTCACAGATACCAGAGGGCCTGTGATGAGCCCAGTGCTGTTCTAGGCATCAAGGAAACCAGCAAACCAGGCAGAGGCAGCTGTTCCCACTGGGGAGTTTCCAGCCCAGCAAGGAAGGCAGAAATTAAACTGGTAGTTTTAAAAGGGCCAAGAGCACTGGGACTATGGGTGACAAGGGCTTTAGCCTAGCCTAGGGGAGAGCCCAGGACACACCACTGCCACTGAGATAGAATATTCTCGTAATTGAGGGTGCTGAAGGGGTCCCCACTTAAGGGATAGAGTGTCTGGGGAGTTCTATGTCCTTGTCTCGGTTTGAGCCCTGGATGTGCAGCTGTCAGACAAGGCTGGCCTGTAGTAACTGACAGTGTTCTTGTCCCAGAATGGGTTGCCCCCTCCCCTCACTCCATGTGGGGTTTGTGCAGACTACTGCTGCTGGGATCTCTTATCTTGGAACGTTGGTAAGGACCCAGCTGTGCCCTTGGTGCAGGATGTCGAAAGGGTCTCCTGTCACCCAGAAAATTGGGAGCTCATGGCTGGGTCCTAAGCAAACCCAGGAAGAAGACTGGCTGCTATGTGTGAGTTCAGGCCTCTTAGAATTGGGGTCCCATCAGCTGGCCCGCCCTGCCATGTCTTCTGATGCACCTGCGAACTGTGCTGCCAAGGCAATGGCCACTGTGTGTTGTGGCAGTGGGACGCGGCACAGGAGGCATCAGGAGGTCAACATAGTGACCCCTGTTCTGTGAGGCAGACAGATGTGTCTTTGTGCGGACTCCGGAGCTTCAGACAGCAGAGCGGCCAGCAGGGCTGCAGCAGGTTCCCTTGGGTCCCCTGAACCAGGTTTTGCCTGCATCACTTCCGTGTTCCCCTCAGGGGCCTCCTAGCCCCACTCTCTGCCCTCCACGCCTTCCTCCACTCTGAGACTACACTGATTGTCTGGCACACAAATCTGAGCCTGTCATTCCGCTTGAAATCCGTCCATGGCTCCTGGTGGCCCTCAGGATTCAGCGTCTCGGCTCTGCTTACTTCTCCAGATGGATTGTCTGCTCAGCCCCTCACATCCACCTCTCAGGCTCCAGACACATTTCGTATTGGTCGGTGTCCCTCTGCCTGGCCAGACTCCCTCCTTCCTATCCACCACTCACATTTTTGCCTGTCACACTCCAGCTAGACCTGTGCACAGAGTCTTGTTTCTCCCATCAGCCTGTCATTTGCATGTGAGGTCAACAAAGGCCTGTCCCTATGTCCCCAACGTGGGAGGGTGCTCAGTACATCCGGAATGTTGACTACCTCAGCAATGAACACTTAATATTCAGACTTCTTTACAGGTGGCAAAAGGCTGGAAGCACGGACTCTTCACCAGCGTTGGTGCTTTTTTATTGCCCCAGTTACTGATGAGGAAACTAAGCTGAGACATTAAGCAATTCTCCAAGGTCATGTAGGGTAGACAAATTCCAACCTGTTGTAATTGTTGTAAAGATTGTATGTGACACCTGAGTGCACCCTGAGATGTGTATAAAGATTTTTATTGCTGCACTATTTGAAATAGCAAAGAATAAAAACTACTTATATGTCCATCAGAAAAAGGATGGAGAAACATGTGGCTCTGTGTTCCCACAGGGAAAACCCACAGCAGTGGAAATGAATGGACTGGACCTACATGTACCAACATAGATGAAATCCAACCCTGAAACCAGAATAATTGACTGTACA